TTCAGTGGAGGTTAGGTAGGTGTACATATATCAACTGTCATATATACATAGACCATCTGTCTCTTCTGCCAGTCAGAACAAATAAATTGTGCACAGTCCATCTGTGGTCAATCTTCTTAGATTCATATCTATAAAGTTCAGAAGTATTTAATCTCTTTCATGTCTAGTCATACTGATCAATTTGTGTGTTTTGTTTGGTGTAAAATAAACACAAATCCTTAGCTAATATAAATATATAGATTACCAGTAAATCACTTTTAAAGGGAACCACCTGTGCGGAGCTTGGTCCTGACCTGGGGGCATAACCAGCAAGGTCAGTAATAACTCCTGCTCTGTTCACGGGGACAGGAACTATCCAGTGGCATTTTGGCCAGTGCAAAGAACAGTCCCATTCAACAGAATGAGTGGGAGAAGCTGGGGATGGGGCCACATTCCTGGATCCTCTCCTCTTTCCTCCCACTGGGAGCACACTGCAGTGGTAGCACTGAGAACATCTTTTAGAGCAAGCCAACCATTTTTGAACGACAATTTATTTACATAGGCATGGAGAAATAGCTTCTTGGCAACGGTGTACATGCCAAATGCTGATTTTCTATTTTAACTTCTAGACACAATGGCAATTGGCTTGTTTGAAAGATGATGGATTATGAACTGAAGGGAGAGCTAATGAGGGGGGAGCACACATGAGCCCAAACCTGCACTTCCCCAGTGCAGTGCCTCATTTACAGCTTGGTGAAACACTTGAAATTGGGTTTGGGCCCAAGAAGCTTTTGAAATAACCAAACCAATTTATTTCTAGCTACAAATATGGAGTAACTTTAAAATAAAAATGAAAAGCTGGACAATCCAGGAAAACAAGGAAGAGTGTGGGAACCAGTCAATAAGGTTGAAACCCAGGCTGCCTTTGAGCATCTGCAGGGTAGATGTCTCCTCCCTTTCTTGTTGCAAGCAGTCAGAAAGGGACAAGAAATGAAATCCATAAAAGGTTGTTATTCACTAGCAAGTAGCTTTGCCTATTAAAACTGTCAGAATTATTCAGATGGCGTTCCTAGCACAATATTTAGGGACTTAACAGGAGATTGGCAAAAAAATACTCCAGCTATCTTTCAAAAAATAACCCAAAGATAACGTGTTTCATGGCTCCTTCTCCAGCACCACCTAGGTCCATCCCTTTTGGAGCCTTAGAGCAAACAAATCACAGCTCCTCTACCTCTGTCTTGGGATGAGGCTCCTTAAAATGGCAGATCCATAGTTCTCCCCACATGGGGTTTAGCAGTGTGTGTAAGAAGAAAAAAGTTCTGCAATTGCTTCATTTCTCCTCTTTTCTGATTAGTGTTGGTGATAATGGTTTCCTTGTTATGGCTTGCAGTCTCCAGCACGCTGCTGTGTTGAAGCATAGGAGGGCTCAAATCTAACTCTTAAATAAAAAAGGTTTTGGTTCCAGCACAGCATGTTTGTAAAATATCTACTGACAAGTCAAAAAGTGTTCCACATGGCCTGTAAAACATATGTTAAAAATTATGCATCATAGACCAGCTTTAAATTATTCATTTTTAATTCCTTCAGCCTTGAAGGGCCTTTAAACATTGACTACTGAGAAACAATTCTGCCACTGAGGGAACAGATATAAAATAAAAAACTGACTACTTAAAAATATAGAGAAAAATGCTTTACCTAGGCACAGTTTCTGAATTTAAAAATATGAATAAAGGTCTGGATCCCCACTTAGTAAAAGCTGATATAGCTCCTTTGAAGTCTGCATAACTATCCCCCATCAGCAGAGAAAGCCCTGGCCCAGACTTTAGAATAGATATATTTTCTCTACATAAGATGACAAGCAAGATTTGCATGGTTAGTTGAAAATATTCCATATTCACTGAGCTGTTGAGGAAATACTGTCTGTGAAACAAATCCTGGATTCTTTCCCAAAACCATCTAAATGACACTTTCTAGTGAAATGCTACAGCATGAGGGGATCAGATCCAGCACGCTGGGCTGGACCCTGCTGTAATTTTGATGGCATTATCAGAGAGCACTTGTTACCTCCACACTCCTTGAGGTGCATCAGGGAAGTTGAGAGCATCTGAAGGAATTAAGTGAGTGTAACACTGATATAAAAAGGAGAAATAGGCTCCACAGTTGCTGTTTCAGGTGGATTTTGTCTTGTTCTCTTCTCTTGGCTCAGCCAGGTGCTGGCAGAGACCTGAGGATCTTCTCCATGCTCTGCACCACACGACACCCCTGTCACTGTGTCATGCCTCCCTGAGGCATCACTGGGGCAAACACACTCCTCTTCTGCCTTGCTTTACAGAAAGGAGCCTTTTTGAGAAACCAAGCCACTGCAGAGCTCTCTTCCATATCTCCTCCTTGCAACTTGTGACCAAGGTTGGTGTGGCTGGAGGGGTGCACCATATCCTATCTCTTGTGTGCTCCAGAGAAATGGTGCAGAGATGGGACTGAAAACACAGGGAAAAAAATCTATCACTCCCTTTCTTCAGTCACAGAATACTAGAATAGTTTGGGTTGGAAGGGAACTCAAAGATCATCTCATCTCAACCCCCCTGCCATGGTCAGGGACATCTCCCACTATCTCAGGTTGCTCAAAACCTCATCCAGCCCAGCCTTGAACAGTGCCAGAGATGGGGCATCCACAGCTTCTCTGGGCAACCTGTGCCAGTGTCAGCTTGATTAACTATTAATAATTAGGACATTCTTGGCTGCTGGGTTAAGCTTTCCTTGATCAAACCTAGTAAAACTTTGTATGTCATATGATGATAAATCAGCTGTTTTACTAGATTTATTCTTTTTTTTTTTTTTTAACTCATGGACAGACCAGGTGTGGTACAACAGGTAGTGAAATGCAGACTGCTCAGACTCTTCTTTCTCATCACTTTCTCACTCCCTCCCTCCCTACAGAAGTGCTTGGCAGAAATCCCCAAACCTGATGCACAACCCTATTACTGGTGAGCTGTTCCCCAGAGATTCTTTTTCGTAAACAGTCCCAGTCACTCACTATTATTGTGAAGCAAATGAAGCACCAAATTCAACCAATTTGCCTGAAAGTAGGAGAGTGTCAAGGCAAAAAGGTAACAGTGACACTAACAGACGATCAAATTGGAGCTCCTCATCCCACCTCCAGCAAAGTGTCAAGCAGCTCCTGGGAAAAAGCACTGAACAGCTATTTAATAGACTGTTTCCACCACACAGTAATTCCTTGTATTGATACTTTCATCATAAAAGAAGACTAATGTGCTTTTTTTTTTTTTTTTTTTTTTTTTAAATGCTCATTACTGTAGATTAAATCCATTCCAAACTCTGTTTATGAAGGATATAACACTGTGCTGCTCTTCGGGATCCAGAGGCAGGATTTAGTGATGGGGTGAGTCCCCTGAAGGGCTTGTTTGGGCTTATGCCCCCTAAGCAGAGAGCTCAGGCTGTCGCAGGTGCTCTGACCCACATGCAAATGTCTGCACAGCGCGGTACATGATGTGACACCGGTGTAAATCCACACGCAAGCTTTTACTAACATAACTCTATGGAAACAAGCTCAGTGGTGATTGATGAATTATAGCTCCTACATAGCACGTTACAGTTTCCACTGGAAGTACCTGGTGCTGGATTTAAGAGCCCAACAATGTGGGCAGTTTCAGTAACTAGATTAATCACCTGTAAACTCGTCTGCTTCACAAAGGGAGTTGTGCACCAGCTGTCCAGTGTTACAGAACATGTTTTTCAGAGCTCAGGAATGCATTCTCCCCTCTGATATGTGCTGTGCATGTTCACTGTGCATATTTGCCTGCCTACGGAAGGGTGGAGGAGAGATCAGGGATCATTTGCTTCTTTGGAGGTGCTATAATCCCCCCACTTCTAGTCATGGCCCCAGTCTTTACACACCAACACTAAAAAAGCCAGCATTATGTTGTTAAATAGTTTTAGCAGGCACTTTATCTCTTCAATGTATCTGCCTGGGGAATTCTTTAATGATGCTGCTTTCTTTTTAATTCTACAGTTTTTTTTATAGTCAACTTAAAAATGTCTGATGCTGGACAGAAAGAAGAGGGCTGAAGTACCTCTCCTGTAAAAATAGGCTAAGGGTGGGGGTTGTTCAGCCCAGACAAGAGAAGTCACAGGGGAGACCTTATAGCACCTTGCAGTATCTACAGGGGCTGCAAGAAAGCTGGAAATGTTTGTTTGTTTGTTTGTTTTCCCAAGGGAATGTAGTGATAGGACAAGGGGGAATGGCTTTAAAATGAAAGACAGTAGATTAAATTAGATATTTGGAAGACATTCTTTCCTGTGACGTGGTGAGACACAGGACCAGGTTGCCCAGACCAGTTGCAGATGACCCATCCATCAAAGTGTTCAAGCCCAGGCTGGATGGAGCTCTGAGCAACCTGGTCTAATACAAGGTGTCCTGTCCATGGCAGGGGGGTCGAAACCAGATTATCTTTATAAGTCCCTTCCAACATAAACCATTCCATGACTCTGTGAATATCGATTATGCGCTATTTTTATTAGCGATGCCACATAGATTTTCTGCCCTGAGAAGCACCGAATTTCTTTCCACTTTCACTGCTGCGATCACCTTTGGGATCCACGCAGCCCAATTTCAGACACAACAGTTTGGCGAACACAGACATTCCTGGGAGGTGACTCTCTAGGGAGGACCCGACGAGAGCCGGATTTCATCCCGAGGGCGCTGGGAGTGAGTCCGGGTTCGCATCGCACCTCTCCACTGCACAGCGGCCGGGGGGAGGCGACGGGAGCGGAATGGGGGTGAGATGGGGGTGAGATGGGGGCAGTGACGGGGGGTGGTGTTTGGGGAGTGAGATGGGGTTGATGGGGGTTGAAAGGGGGGTGATGACGGGGGGATGCTGAGGGGAGGGGATGAGGGGGTGGTGGTGGGGGGCCCGCCCCTCCCGGCCCGGCCCCGAGGAGGAGCCGGCGGGGCCCGCGCCGTCCACGTGGCCGAGGGCGCGCTATATGAGCGGGCAGGAAGCGCCGGGGAGGGAGCGAGGGGAGGGACGGGGCGCCCGGAGCAGCTCGGCGGGTAGGGCCGGCACACAGACGGACAGGCACACAGACAGCCAGACACACAGACAGCACGGCGGCAGCCACAGCAGCGACCGTCCGTCCGTCCCCCCGGCCATGGGGCTCGGCCGCCCGCCGGTCCCCCGCACCCCGCCGTGAGTACCGCGGGACGCCGTCCCTCTCTCCCTGCCTTCCTCCCCGCTTACCTGCAAATCCCCCGCTCCCCGCTGCTGCAGAAGGCGCGGTGGGAGCCTCCCAGCCTCCTCACTCGGCTGTTGAGTTGTTGGGGTTTTTGAAAAATTATTTCTGTGATTTAGAAGCAGGGGCGGCCGCGGCACTGCTCGCAGCATCCCCCGGCACTCCGGAGCGGGGAGGCTTCTCCCCATCCAGCTGGGATTTCCCCACTGGAGGGAGGCAGAGGGGAGGCGGCGGGTGCCGGGGTGGGCTCCGGAGGAAGGGGCCACCTTCGGGCGATGCTCGGGGGGCGACAGTGCCGGGGAACCCCCCTCCAGCTGCCCCACAGGGACCGGTCCTGCCCAGCGCCGCCCCGGGCGGGAGCAGCCCGGCGCAGACCTTCACCCTGGCTGGTTCGTGTTATTGCTGTCTCCCCTGGGTAGGCTGTGTGCCGAAGGAGTAAAGCCGGTGTTACTCCGTTAGAGGGCAAAAAGCAGACTAGCTGTCTTAGGTATCCGCTCGCACATTCCTTCTTGCAGAATTAATTTCTAGAGGAGCATAAATAACTACTCCTCGAGGTCGGCCGTTTGTTTTTATTGTACTTGGTATATTTATCCTAGTAACAAACATCTGTCCCAGGTCCTTAGTGTGATTGTGTGTAGCCTTGGCACAAATGAAAACAAGCCAGTTAAAAAAAAAAAAAAAGCCTGGATGTATATTTACTCATTTGAGGCACACAAGATTTTTCAACTCTTTGTAACATTTAGGCTTGTATGTATCCAATATACTGAAATAACTCTTTCATGCAATTTTAAGTCTGAATTATATATTTGTCTGCTGGGCACATATGTTGAAGGAAAAACCTCCCTAATTATGGATCTTTCAGAGAGATTGGAAGGGTGACAAAGCCCTTGTAATCTTTTGGGTCAATTTTCATAAGCTCCAAAAGCTCTCTTTGAAAAGGAAATTAAATTTCAGTGTACAAAAGGGACAGGAGATTCAAGGATATAAAAAAAGAGTCTTATTCTACTTTGATCTTGTCCTCAGGAGTTCATTTACTTTAGTGCTCTTCAGTGACACGAGTTAAAATGAAGAGTTGCCTTTAACTGGAGTCTTCCTGCCTCTTGGCATTTCGGGAGGTACTCAATTAGCAGCACGCTTCTCCCGTGTATTATTTACACAGCTTCGGCTGGAGGGGCTCTGTGTGAAGCATCTGCTTGGAAACACTTGGCTTGTTACACCCACAGCATCCTGTGCCACCCATGCCAGCCAGCACCTTCCACAAGACAGTCTGTTCAGCCCTTCTCAATTCTTGTGTCCCAGAGCAGAGCTGGCAGTGCTCTGCCCGCTGTGCCCAATGTCTCGACAGAGCTGCTCTGGTGTCAGAAGTTGGGGGTGGCCCTGGGCTCCCTTTCCTGCTTTCAGCAGAGGCAGGATGTTATCTGCAGGGCACGGCTGTGCTTAAGGTCCTTTCTGGACTTATCTGGGAACCTGAGTTTCTAATCTGCTCGAGCACATGTCCAGGGGGGTGAAGGAGGGAATGACTGGATGTGAATAAAAAGAATGAATGTGTTTATTAGTTAATAGTGTGTGTTTTCTTGATTATCCTGGAAACAACAAAGCCCCGGCACAGGTCTGTGGTGAACTTGGTGTTCTGTTCCTCTGCTAATTTCTCAATTCATTTACTCTGTTTTGGTGTTGCTATAGAGTAACATTTCTGTGTCAGGAGGTTTAAGTGTCCCATGCCTCAACAAAGTCCCAGTCTATGATTCTGCCAAACTAGCTTTGAAGTTACCACGAAGTTTTTAAACTACAGCTCTGCTAATACACAGTTCTTTTACCTTTCTGCTTAGTAGTGTGTAGAAGCATTATCTCTGAAAGTGCAAAAGAAGAGAGAAATTGTGTTACTTAGTATTTTGGCTCACTCTTTTGGTGCACAATCTGATTCTGCAGGGGAGACAGTGAGTTGCCCTGTTTGTATGAATTTGTTACACATCTTGGCCAGAAAGAAACTTGAGACCTTCTATACAGTTTTTCTTTCAAACTTGATTATACTGCTAATGGTAATGGCCTCTCAATTGAGGAAGGTCGCTTTTCAAACGAAACATCATTTTATGTAAGTTTTGGTACGTGCTTATCAATTTTCTTTTTTTGTTTATGTAAAACTAGGAGCAGCTTGAGAGGAAATTAAGGTCATGCAGATGGCAGTTCCCTCTTCTTGGTTATAAAAATATCTTTTATGTCAAGTGAGTTGCAAATGCTGCCATTAAATGATAGTAGAAATAAATTTTTACTTGGAACATCTTTTGCACCTATTTTCAAAAGCGTAGTGAAGCAGAAACCTGCTTTTAAAAAGCAAAGGAGAGAGAGCAAACTCAGCTCCACAGCATATTTCAAGTACTGTTAATCCCACCACCTGGTGGAGCTTTTCATGGCTCTGGCTGAGGGAACTCTGAAAAGGATGCATTTTTTGTCTTGTTTCAACACTGTTACATGTAATTTCTTCAACTTTTTTATTTTTCATACCAGACCTAATTTTCTGTTGTTCTGTATCTTTTGTACTTTGCAGAAGGCAGCATAGGACTATTGGTGTCTCATCTGAAGCAGCAGATAGATGAACTGGTGAAGTAGGGGGTAAAGTTTTCACCTACAAGTACTTCTTCAGTGAAAGAATTATTTTTAATAACCAGCCCCTCTGCCAAGATACTCTGGTGGAACCTTTCAGTGCAAGCCCAGTTAGCTTTGTACTAATAATTTTTATATTTTTATATAAATATTACTATAAAATAGTTTTATTTACTATAAAATATTTGCTAAACAGCCTGTGTTCAATCCGGCTTGCAAGGAGCAGAGAGGCAGATATATTTTCAACTGATTTGAGATTCCTGATACACGTTTTTAAAACATGGGAATGAGTTCCAGGAATTAAGGTGAAGTATGGCAGAGATACTTCACCCCCTCTGCTGCAGTCTTGCCTGACTGCATCAAAGCCTGCCTGTTATGTTTATGGTGTGCCTTCTAACTGATAAATGAAAATCAAATCACAGGTATGCAAGCTGAAAGTCAACTCTGGGGTTATCTGTCAGCTCACAATTCTGAGGAATTGCTTACAACAGGGAGAAAGCTCCTTGACCCATACAGACATTTCCTGTGCAAGACATGCAGCCTTGCAGGCAAAATGCTCTTGTAAATGTTTGTATTGCTCTTTTTGCCACAGTGCCTGTGGCAGCAGCCAACAGACGGTGGAGGCCATGGCAAGCCTAGGGATGTGACAACTCCCACCTGCCTCCGGTCCTGGCAGGAATGGTGTGCCTGGTGCCACTGGTGGGATGGACAGCTGCCTTTGCAGCCCATCCAGAGCCTGTCTGCATCCTTCTCTGGGCTAGCTTGGGATTCACTGTCCAGTAGGTATCTGCTCTGTATCACCCAGCATGTCTGCTCCAGGGAGCTGGGAATCTCCTACCAGACTTCAGGGACCTTGGCTTCTCAGCTGTAGTCTCTGAGTGATGTTTGATCTGCCCTGGAATATCTTTCCTTGTCTTCTGACACCTGGTGTTGTATTTGAGACTTCAGGAGGGTGGGTTTGATGTCCAAGGTATCTTCAGTGGCACCTGAAATGTGTTTGGCAACTGAACTGACCCTGTGGGAGCTGTGTGTGTTGTTTGGGCATAAACTTCTAACTTATGAAATAGATAACGTTATCAACGTAAGTGGTCTCTGTTCAGGATGTATGTCTGTTAGTTGTTCAGAGTTGTCACTTCTTGTGACCCATCTTGTCCTGATAACTGCTCTGGGCTGACCTGGCACTAATAAACAGCAGCCACAGAGGAACTGCTGTCACCCTTCTGGTCACTTTTCCCACTCTTACCCAGCCTTCTCTTCCCACTGGTGCCAAGTGTCCCATGCTCGGGTTTGTGAGTAGCAGTCGCTTTGTGAAAAATGTCCTACAAAACTTTGAAAAGCTCTTTTAAGTCACAGCCCTCTCAAGCTGTGAAATATCTGTGGAATGTGGAAAATGGGGGGCCTTGACAGACAGGAAGCTCTTTTTAAAAGAAATTCCCCCACAGTATTGGTAGAAGCTTGCTCTGAAGCATGAGTTAAGATTAGGAATGTCATCAATTGTAAAGACTGTAGTAATTGTTAAAATGCAATTCTGGGGGAAAGGAGGGTGGAAAGCAATTGTTTCCTGGCTTTGTTTCACTTTGAACTGCCTGTGATTAAGTTGCTTCATCTGGACTGACGTGCACGTCCTTCCTTGGGGAGAGGAAGATTTGTGCCCTGTGTATGAGATGGCCAAACCTTTGAGCAGAGAGGAGTTGTGGTATTTCAGGAAACCTGTTAACCTCATCAAGCCACATCTGTTTCTCTGGGCCAGTCCCACAGCTATTTCTGCCAAGCAATTGCAAGGTATCCTGGAATGCAAAAGAGACACAACGTAAGTGGTTGAAACCCGCACCTGGTGACAAATGCTTGAAGTGTAGCTGTCTTTCTCTGAGGACATCATCTCAATAGAACTTTCTTGGGTTTTTTGTAGTAACTTTTCCATCTCTTTGGAAGTCCTTTGTCCCAGCAGGTTTTCAATGCAAGCTCAGCACTCTGTAGCTTTCCATCCCAAAATATTTGACGGGAGGACAAGGAAGAGTGAGGAACAGGTTAGAGCCCACAGGGTTCAAGCACAACATTTCCCACCTTGCTGGTGCCTGACAGAGGACTGCTGCTGGCATGGAGGTGACCACACATATTCCTGGTATCCCCAAAAGTCCTGCAGTGGACTCCTTAGCCATCCTTTTGGAAGATTGTTCTGCAGAGTAAAAACTGGCACAGTGGCACTGAGTTATTAAGTCTGGTGCAATTTTAAAATGTCTCTGGACTATATAATTACTACTGACATTTTTCCAGGAGCCTTGGAGTTCTGGATTTTTTTTTATTGTTGTGTAAACCAATACAAAACAAAGGTTTTCCCTTTTAAAGGACACTGCAT